ATACAATCCCGACAATTTGAGTGAATTGAGATTAAAAAGACGGAAAACCCTTCATTCCTTTTTTCATAATTTAGTCTTTTTATTAATACTAAGAACTAGACTCAAACTACGACATGACTCGTCTGATGTTTTTCTTTTTACTTATCTTCTCAGTAAATTCGTCGACAACGAAACTTGCGGAAGACGCCCTTACGTCCTCAGTTTCTTCGTCCTCTTCCACTGATAACTTTGATGAGAATTGCGGCAACGGATTGTTCGACGCAAAGACGGAGGAGTGTGATCGAGTTGATGGATGTGGTAGTGATTGTTTATGTTCGATCGGGTATACTGCTGATGGTGATGGTCATTGTGTTCCGAAGTGTATGTATGGTTCTGCTTGTATCAATGGATGTTACAAACCGGACAAATGTGAGCGATGTAATGAGTCGATGGGGTATACATCCGACTGTTCCGAGTGTTTAAAAGATTACATGTGGTTTGGTGAAGGCAAGTGTTTGCCTTACAACGCCACTGAACTCATATCGTGTGGAGACTTTTTCACACAGACAGACGCTTTCTTCGCCGCATTAGGGAAGACCAATGTCTTTCGAATACGTTTTGGTGACACTGGAAATTTAGATGAAAATGGGAAAGTCGTGTTAGATCTCTCACAAGACGTTTTGACCCAATTCCAGTCGACTTTTAATAAATTAGCAATTAATAGATGCACTCGCTTCGTTAATCCAACTAAGCCATACACTTACGGAACGTGGTTTGAAGTCCTTGCTGATGAAAACGGATACGTCCATATCGAGACGGACAAGAAATATACCAACGCGGAAATCACTATATTGAATGCTCAGAGCAAAACAGTGGGTACCAATTACGCTCTTTCGGTGCATGAGAGGTGTCTTGACACCGCCGATTTGTTCTACAACCCGAAGTGCACGACGAGAAATGGAGGACGAACAGACTATATACAGTCTCCACAAGTGTTTCTTAAGGTCATTAAAGACGAAAAGTACTACGTCTTCCTTCACTCCAAATTTGCGTCATCACAAGTGTCATCAATACCTATTTACTTCAATAAAGTGCTTCACCCATGCTCTGGGGATTATCAGGAGGTTGTTATGAATGAAGTAGCGAGTGGGTACTTCTCGAGTATCATCGATTCTGACACGACAATAGTGAGTGGGTCTGTGTGTACCAAAGAGAATGAAAAGGGGAGGTGGTACCGGATTAATGGGGTTGACCAAACATTGGACATATCGACGTGTAACTCGGAGGAGTATGATGTCTCTTTAAATTTGATCGAATTTGATTTGGCGCAGTTGGGGTTTGTCGACACGCACACCGACGACATTTCGAATGTGACATGTGGTGTTGAGGGGATAGGGAAATGCGTGAAGTATAGAAATGATGGATGTGGGAAAGGGTCTCTACTGCCACGGATGGTAGTTACACTGAAGAAGGAGTATATGTATATGTTGTTTGTCAGTTTGAACGAGGAGTACAAAAGTCGAGTGAAACTTGACATCACCATCACGTGTCCACAAGAGTGTGGTGAGAATGGGAAGTGTTCTGGCTATTCTGGGAAGTGTGAATGTAACGAGGGGTATGTCAACAAATACGATGGATGTTCAGCGTGTGGGAATGGGAAGGTAGACATTGACATCAACGAAGAGTGTGATTTAAGTTCGGGGGTAGTTGACATTCAATGTCTTGATAGTTGCAATTGCAAAGATGGTACACAGCCAAAGGAGATCAATGGAGTTACAAAGTGTGCTGTTTCCACGTGTAACAACGACAATATAGATGAAAATGAAGAAGTTTGTTTTATCGTGTTTTTAGACATTGACATTCAAATATTTATATTTAGTGTGATGGAGGGTTTGGATGTTATCATTGCTTATGTGTGAATAATACATATGCCTTTGCAAAGCCGCGGTTATATTGTGTTTCCTCCACGTGTGGAAACAAGAAGTGGGATAAAGGTGAAGAGGTTTGTTACTGATCTTTTATTCATAGAACTATATTCTATAATATAATATATTATTATAAAATGCTTTTCTATCATACACCAACGACTTATAAATAGTGTGATGGAGGGTTGGGGTGCATTGAATGTGAATGCCAACCGGATTGGTTTGGGCATGGCTCTGCAGACTGTTCTTCATTGTCCCCAGCACTTACCAACTTTTTGTTTTGGGGAGTTGGCAGCATATCATACTTTATATTGTACATGCTGATATTGATCATATCCCTTGGAGTCTATATTAAATTAACTCGTGTTATAAAGAAGCAGACGTATAACGAAATGAACATCTTCGAGAACACAATTATTCCATTTGATAAGAACAATTCGCAGTACGTTGACATGTCCAAGGAAAACAAATACTTCTCGTTTTCTTCAACAAAGATCGAGTTCGACTCCCAGCCAGAGATTAACGAGCCGATCGAGACACAAATTGAGTTGAACAATTTGAGTAAGACGCATCCCCTTTATTTTGTCTTCCACAGTGGAGACTACACCAAATATATTATACTCTCAAAGCCATTTGTGGGAACAATACGGCCCAAGGAATCAGTCACACTTAACATTTCATTCATGGCCAAGTGCACAACAGTCCTCAACGAGAAGGTCCCAATCACAATTCGCTTTGGTAACGTTTCTCAAATCATTAAAGAGATCAAGAAGGAGAATCCAGACCTCATCGACCATGCTTCTCAATCATCACAAAATTCCGAAATGGACGATACAAAATCATTTGGCAAGAAGTCTTTGTCGTCTGCAGATGGCAAAGAAAAATCATCGAGTAAAACAAAATCGACGGGGAAGGACAGTGGCACTAAAGATAAGTCGTCGTCTTCACTCAATTCCAAAAACAAGAAGAGTAAAACGGCCATTTCAAAGTTCCACGTCTACTTGAATCTTCAAGTAGAGTCTGCGCTGTCCACCAAACTTGATTATGAAGAAATCCATTTACAGCATCCACCAATTGGAGGGGGCACATTTGGTATAGTCTACCGAGCGGAGTGGCGACGAGTCGATGTTGCAGTGAAAGTGATGAAGACTGATTTAGTCAGTTTAATGGAGTTACTTCCCAACTTCATGCAAGAGGCTGAGATGATGGAGCGTATACGATGTCCTTATATAGTGAATTACATAGGAAGTGTCATGACTGGTGATACCCTCTGTTTAGTCACTGAGTTCTGTCCACTTGGGTCTCTTAGGAAGTACATGAAGTCTAATGCAATTCCCGAGTTGTTGAAATTGAGGTTCTGCCAAGACATTGCGAGAGGGATGGAGTACTTACATGAAAATGATATTCTGCACAGAGATTTGAAGACAGACAACGTCTTGATGATCTCTAAAAATCCGCACGACCCTATCACAGCTAAAGTCACTGATTTTGGGACATCGAGATCATTCATCGAGTCGTCTGGGAAAAAGTTGTTACAAGGAATAGGTACGCCAGTCTATATGGCTCCAGAGATATCAAGAAAAGACCAAATGACATTGAAGAGTGACGTCTACTCCTTTGCGATTTGTATGCTTGAAATTTGGTTAACAAAAGACGTGTATGACCCGATGAAATTCCCCGACTCCGAATCGATTTTGAGGTTCGTTGGGGCAGAAAAGAGACTTGATATAGACGACTCGTGTGTTCTGAAAGAACTCATCCAAGCAGCTTGGAAACCACGAGCAAGCGAACGGCCAAGCTTCAAGGAACTTGGGACAAAACTCACACTCATTCTCAAAAACGTCGAGAAAGGGGAGACTAAGCGTGAAAAGGATTCAAAATCGTCGAAAATGAATGATGAAGAAAACTCGAAAGTCTCGGTGACTGCTGTTACTACTAAAGATGAGAGTGTCACTGAAGGGGAGAGTGCAGATAACTCAGAAACATCAAACGATAGTGATAACCCGACAATATCCAAAGACACACCTGAACATAATGATATCAACAGCAACGAAGAACATATGGATGGTGTTCGTCCAGAAGTTGCCAAGCAAGTTGAAAAAGAAGTGACTGCTGAGAAGACTGAAACCGCTCAAGAAACACCCAAAGAAGAAGAACAACAATGAAACTTTCCACATAATTTTCTTAATTTTTAGTGCATTTAATTTACTATTTAAGAATAATTAATAATGTTCAAATATATTCTATTTATTTATATTTATATACCAGTCATCAACAATATAGTATATTTATAATTTAATATTGTTAAAACTAGTTTAATCACATTTTAAACATTTGAATGAAACATAAATCTATATTTGAAAAAAAAAATAGTTATACGAATAATATATTTTCTTATGTTTTAAATTATTTTTTTTTCAAAATTAATAAACAAGATTTAGTTCAGTAATTTAAAAGTGACAATAAAATAAAGATATTTTTTATTAATTGATTTAAATAACAATAAAATAGTTATTATCACTCGCGTGGTGATATAATGGTATATGTGTTAATACATTTGAATAGCTGTTCCAAGTCTTTGAGTCAATTTATTATTAAATTGTATTTACTATTGCATGATGTTAGTTTTCTTGTTCTGTGGAACACAAACAATGGTCATTTTTTTTATTAAAAGTATTTAAAAAAACTACCTTTTTGAAAAGTAATTAAAAACTCATGAAAAGAACAAAACCAGAATAGTAAAGAATAGAATTCTTGATTAGAATGCAAACAGAGCAATTAATGAAAGAACAAAAGAGACAGCAAGAACTCCGTCTGACAATGAATCGTGAGTTGGTTCCTTTGACATCGAAGTTGATGATTGTTCAGATGACATAGAGGAATCTTGTTTGGAAGTCGATGAGTGTTCCGATGACATTGAAGAGTCTTGTTTTGAAGTTGATGATTGTTCTGATGACACTGAGGAATCTTGTTTGGAAGCTGATGATGATTCTGATGACATAGAAGCTGATGACGACATTGAAGCCGATGATGACTCTGATGACTCTGATGACTCTGATGACATCGATGACATAGAAGCTGATGATGACATCGAAGCCGATGACGACATAGAAGCCGATGACGACATGGATGATTCCGATGACATTGAAGCTGATGATGACATTGAACTTGATGAAGCTTCTTCTCCAAGAGTATTAGCAGCAAAGAGAGCTAACAAGAAAAACACGAACATTTGATGTTAATAGTTTGAAAGGGTTTGCTTTTATTGCACCTTCCATTCATTAGTGCTTTGGTTTCAATGAAAAACCCTGTGTATTTCAACATCGGCTTTTCAAAAAGGTCTTTTTCTCTTTTTCTCTTCTTCGTTAATTATTTTCAACACTGGCCTTTGTACCTATAAATAGGTTGCACAGACATTAACCCTCCAAATAATTCAACTGTGTTGAATTGATATTATAAAAAATTAACGTGTTACTAATTAAGACTCCATGAGAAACAAAGAAATTTTTGTTGGCAATCTATTTTTAGGCCATTCCAGGGCGAAAGAACTTTTTCGAAGTTTTTAAAACTTCTCATCTCCTGTGAAATTATGATAATTTACATGATCTTGGAATTTGAAATGATTGACCAAGTTTTTCTTAATTCCCCGTTTTACACAAGAAGAATAACTTATTATTTGTTCGTATCAAAAAGGGAACTTTTGAGACGAAAGAAAAGTATTGAACCTTTGAGAGGAATAAGAAATCGCCCCCTATTTTTCACAATAAAATAGGGATAGTTTGCTACACCGTTCGTTTCAAAAGTCTTAAAAAACCAATAAAAAGTGTTTATTTGTTTAAAACCCAACAGTGTCTGTTATAGTACTTTAATCAACAAGTTATAGAACACATAAATAATTGTAATGTCATAATAATAGTAATAATAATAATATAGTAAAAGAAATAATAACTTGATTTTTTTTGGAAAATTCATATTTTACTGGTTTTTTAAAGATTAAAAGGTATTAATTTACAAATTCAGTTTGTTATTCGACTTTTGTGGAATTTGAATATCACTCCTATCAAATTTGCTTGTGGAAAGAAACAAAAAATTATTTTGAAAACCAGAAGTGTTATTTATTATCACACATTCGGTGTAATTGGTAATTATACCCAATCAAATTAAGTAATATACATCCATTTTGAACAACTGAACAATATGAAAGTACTCAATGCTTATAGATATTATACACTCAAACATGATACTAATTATAATCCCTTATTGTGTTTGGCTGTTAAAAAAAGATCATCTATTTTTTAAAAACGATTTATCTCAACTCTTTCAACATTACAACTTACGAATCTCAAACCATTACTTTTTTTAACTTCACCATAAAGTTTAAAACGTTCATTTGGTTTAAAATCAACAATATTCTAAGATAAGGTTTGTGAGTTGAGAGTTAAAAGTTGATAATTGAAATTAATAAAATCGATTCTTCACAAATACAAAACAGGTAATTTAAATTACAATTATTAATAGTGTACAAAAAATACAAAATTGGCACTAAAAATATCTAATAACAAACCAATTATATTTGTTCAAATGAAAAAAAACTTGGAATTTTTTAAAAAGTTTTATCAAATTTCACAGGTTTGATTTTTTGTTATTATATTTGGATAATAAACTTATTTAAATAATTAGTTTAAAAAAGTTACTAACTTAATATTGGTTTGTAATTTAACACTGACATTTTTATTTATACACTAATAATTTGTTATTCTAATATTTTAATATAATTGTTTTTATAAAATTCTAATAACAAATAACTTTTTATAACGTCCAATTCTTCAAATGAGTGAATGTTTTGATGAAAATAAAACAAAGAGAAAATTCCTTTTTCTGGTTCAAATAATTATAAATAATAAAATTATAACAAAAAGTATAATACAAATTATCATTAAAAAAAGTTTTCACAAGACAGATATAGTAAACAGTATCATACTAAATATTATATCAATATTATTTTAACTATAATTATTGTAGAAGTGGTTAAATAGATAATAAGGGTTTTGAATCCCCATGTAAATGTTATTTAATTCATTAAAAAACTATGTAAAAAATGTTAACACTCGTTTATAATACTCTTTATATTTAGACGTATCGAATAAATGTTCACATTCTAGTAAAGTTCGATATAACATATCAATAAAACATATTATTTTTTACCTTTACCATAATATAATAAATCCTTTGTTATTTATTTATATTTTGTTAAATATGTTATAATTATGGGTTTTTATTTTTTTTATAATTGATTGTAATTATATTTTTAATTATTTCTAATTTACATTGCCATTAAAATTTAAATTATATGATTAAATTATGAAACTAAAATACTTTACTAAATATTATATAATAATTGAACATAATATTTTTAATAATAAAAAATAAAAATAATTCAAAGAAGTGTTGCCAAAAATAGAAATGACGTGTCTTCCACGTCAACACCACATTTTGAAATTGAAAATGGGTTTGCAGACAAAATGAAGCCACAGATGCGGGAGATGCAATTGAGTGTTTGACAATAATAACTGAGACGTGGCGGCAAGACGTATAAAATGGTGTTGGATTTTGAATAATTCATCAAATGAGTGCAAACAAAGGAACCGCAGTTGGTATCGACCTTGGGACAACATACTCCTGTGTCGGTATCTGGCAAAACGACAGAGTTGAGATCATTGCAAATGATCAGGGCAACAGAACAACGCCATCGTATGTTGCCTTCACGGACAGTGAGAGGCTGATTGGTGATGCAGCAAAGAACCAGATTGCAATGAATGTGAAGAATACCGTCTTTGATGCAAAGAGACTGATTGGAAGACGATTCAGTGATCCAGCAATACAAGAGGATATGAAGCACTGGTCATTCACTGTTGTCAATGATGGCAATGACAAGCCGTTGATTCAGGTGGAGTACAAGGGAGAGACAAAGAAGTTCACACCAGAGGAGATCAGTTCGATGGTGCTGACGAAGATGAAGGAGACAGCAGAGGCGTTTGTTGGTGGAAAGTCAACAACGC